TTCAAACGAGAACAATGTTTAAAAACGTAACAAGATCATGAAAAATGTGGTTCTAAAGAATTTAATCAATAATTTTCCTCAATTTTTTAAAAGTGTTAATTTTGCGAATGCAAAATACTCCTAAGACTATTTTAATAGTAAAGAGGTCGCCACTAAAAATGCACATCTACTTCATTTTAAAGAAATGAGAAGGCCTTAGAACAGGAAATCCAAGAGTCTGTAAGAAAGTAAAACATACGATCGCCAGAAGAGTCTGCTTTCGCTTTGGCTGCCTGAGTGGATAACGTTCGAATAACGTCGATGATTTCCCAACGAGAAAGAGCATTTATCTGAAAGAAGCAAATTATGTGAAAACCTTTGATCTTAGGCGAAAGCTCACTTCTTCCTCTCGCACTCCATAGTCTCTGCATATTTCTTTTGCTTCCTTAAGCGGCAATTTCCTGAGATCAGCATTTGTACCCGTAACAAGACGTTTTGGCATAGCTGGTGTGTCATCCTTAAATTGTAACAACAATAAAAAACAGTAAAGGAAGTTGATTTTAAGAAACGTTTTGCTGACTTTTTGAGGTTTCTGCGACACCCGAACGTAGCTAAAACCTTGACCACAACCAGTTGGATCGGCGATTCCCGTCTGATCCAAAAGACATTTTCCCCGCATTGAAGACAAAAAAGCACGAGTAGTATTCCAAGGAGCACATTTTATCTAAAATATTAACCAGTCCACAGCCTTTAAAAACTTTTCCGATACTTGATCAAACTGAGTAATACCTCGTCTTCTATGGTGACTTGATCATCAGAATCATCCTCGTTTTCTGGTGTGAAGAAGTACTTCTCGCCATAGCCCGCATCCTAAAACAAACAACATTCTACTTTACTTGCATTTTATCAAACTATATTTAAAGCATCCAGATAACTATGGACTGACTAATTCGACATTTACCGTTCAGAGAGATGTTTTTGTTTCTTGAAACATATATGCTATCTTTTCATAGGAAAACACTTGTAAAAGAGAAAAACAAAAAAGAATAGCTATTTTTAAAACAATGTGACAAAGCTTCACTCGGAAAATGTAGATGTTACAGAAAACGTGATCCAATTTATTTATATGCGAATCAATAACTGTTCATATTAAACTGTCAAAACAGCGAACCATTAATTAGTGCTTATTCATAATAGAGATTTTGACATTTTGCTTCAAAATTGTTACCCTTCAATCATCACTTCATAAGAAGGTCACGTTACGCGAAACAACTGCCCATGACTTGTTTCTAATCGAATTAGCGCCCTTGCCTCTCTCAATTAAAAGCGAGACACAGAACAATGATAAGCTCACACACTTACTTTCAATCTCTGCTCAGCAGCAAGCATACTGTATTGAGCACAGCACATTTCAGGTGTGACCATAGCCAGCACTTCCTCTTTGCTGGGAAGACGAAATTCCGGCCGTAATACCTGAAAGTTACACCACTCGCTTAGGAAAAAAGGTGATTAATTTGAACACTCTGAAAATAGCGCACCCAGTAATTCTGATCAGGCCCTGTTCCTAGTCGTTTGAAGTCTGAACATTGTTTCAAGCGTTTCCGTACGCTACTTTCTGCATAATGAGGAAAGGCAGCTTTAATGTCATCCATTTTCAATCGACGAGGGCGATGTTCGCTAGCCCAGAACAGGCGATAGATAAACGCCTGCAACGATTTTATAGCATGGAATTTTATGCATTTCATTTCAAATTTACTAACCAACAGAAAGTCTCTGACGAATATCGTCGCACGCTTGGAGTTTGGACTGGGAACTTCAT